TTTTTTTTTTTTAACCGAGTCTTTTGAAGTCTCGAATTAAACGCGGTGCAAGCCCCGGCTGGGAGAGCCGAGCTCGCATCCCGTGTTCCCCGAGGAGCAGCGCCGTGCGGGAGCGGCGGAGCCCGGAGCCGCGGGGCTGTCGGAGCGCACCGGAGCGGGGCGGGATGCGGTGGGCAAGGGCCGGCAGGTAGCAGCTGCGGCAGGGAGAGCCGGCCAGGGCGAGCCCTTCCTTCCCACGTTTTTCCTTGTCGCAGCGGCTCCCGCCCGCCGCGAGGTGCTGCCGGGTTTTGATCTCTCCGAAATATCGGCTGTGTCCCCCTGTGCCCCCCCGGCCCCGCTGTCCGCCTGCTCGGCTCCTACAGATTATCCGCAGTCCCCGCTTCACGCTCCATTGGGACCCCATTCACCTCTTATTAACTAGCCCTGTTATTTTAATGACCGTGAAGCCAGAAGCTGCTAAATCCCTGGATCAGCTCAATGTAGACATTTCAGCTTTGACCGCTGAGATTGGAAATCGGGGGAGAAGCAGCGATGGCACGGCTGGAGGCTGCTCCCCGTCGGGCAGAGCGGGCGACCCCCGGGGCTGGCAGGGATGGGGGTTCCGGGGGTCTCCGGCCGGTGTTGCCCGGGGCCCATCGCTCCAAGGGCGGCTCCGCAGCTCCCCCGGCCCCGGCGCCTCCTCCCCAGCCCGGGCAGCGCGGCGGAAACGCGGCTGCGTCTCTGATTTGAATTTTTCTGATTTTAATGATCCTTCTGACGACTTGCACAAGCGGGGAGGGTTGGTCTGCTGTAGTTGCGATGAGGAGAGCAGCGAGAACTGGTTTATAATCTCTTCGCTGCGAGCGGGGGTTGATTTCTTCCGCGAAATTCCTTAAAACCACCAGACTCCCCGGGCAGGAGCCGGGCAGCTCTCGCTCTCCTCTCTCCTTCCCCTGTGCCACCAAATGCCACCACCCGCCGCCCCGAGCGGTGTCCCCCACTCCGCTGACGCCCACCCCCGCTGTTCCCCACCCCTGTGTGCTTTCCAGGACCGGCACGATGGCAGCAGCAACGGGAACCCGCGGCTGCCGCACCTCTCCGCCGTCAGCCAGCACCTGTACAGCCCGGCCCCGCCGCTCTCGCACTCGGGCGCCTCCGACTTCCAGCCCCCCTACTTCCCCCCGCCGTACCAGCCGCTGCCTTATTCGCAGTCCAGCGACCCYTACTCGCACCTCGGGGACCCGTTCTCCATCAATCCTCTGCACCAGCCGCCGCCGCCGCCGCCCAGCCAGCAGCAGAGCGCTTGGCCGAACCGGCAGAGCCAGGAGCCGGCGGGGCTGGCCCCGCACGCCCGGCCCGGGCTGGTGCCGCACCTCTCGGCGCTGGAGAGCGGCTCCGCCGGCAGCCGCCGGGAGACTTTCCGGCGCTCCGAGCTGCTGCTGCCCCACGGGCACGGGCTGGACGCCTCGGCGCTGGCCGATAACCTGGGTCTGCACGACATGGCCCATCAGATGGAGGAGGTGCAGGTAAGGACCACCCGCACCCCCTTCTGCACATCCCATCCCCGTCCGTGCCCAGAAATCCGCCATTCCCCTTTCCTTCGYCCCTTAAAGTGCGGGGAGGGGTGGGTTTCCCAAAAGCCCTCGGCTTTTTCCCTCTCAGCTCTTCCAGGTGCGAAACTTTCTCCCCCTTTCTCTTTCCAGAATGTGGAAGATCAACACTTACTAATGCATGACCAGACAGTCATTAGAAAAGGTCAGTAAGGTGGCACGGCAGTTTTACTTTCCCTTGTCAATAGTTAAAAGTTTAATGACGGTGAAGTGACGCCCTATTATTTTTATAAAGACCGATCCTTTGGGATCGGGAGGGCGGAGGAGTTTGCATTCCACTCTCTGTCGCTGGATTTTTTTTTAACGCTGTCGGAGGGAAGGTGGCGGCGGGGACAAACCCCCAGGGCTGCCCCGAGGCGTGAGACTCCTCCGGGGACACGACTGTCCCCCCTCGTGKGCTCTTGTGTTGTGGCTTTAATCGAAACCAGGACCTTGAACCGATTTTAATCTTTCCTGAAATACGTGCGTGTGTAAAGTGACACGGGGCTTTTCTTTTGTTTGTTTGTTTGGGTTTTTTTATTCCTGCTAGTTTTCGAAGACAGTTTTTTTTATTTTTTTTTTTTTTTTTTTCAACTCTTTTTTTTTTCGAACTTCTTACAAGACTTGAGAAAGGACTGTGTTCGCTGGCCGAAGACTGTTTGGCTTTATCTTAATCGAAATTGGTTTGTAGCTGAGGTTTTGAGGAAGGAGGAAGACGTATTGACTCAATTTACAGTAATTTAGGTTTTTTTTTCCTTACTTTTGTTTTTAAACAAATTTGCGCTTAAAAAAAAAATCAGAAGTTTCCTCTGAAGACTTCAAACAAATACCTAACTGAGGAAAAGCAGAAGTGTGTGTCAGAGCGCTGATTGCTGCCTTTAGCTCATGGGAGAATAATTTCGCTGTCAGATGCGCCACTGACAAATCTTCCCCCTCCGGGAGCGGGCCCGACCTCGGCTCTTTAACCCTTTCCCAGCGGTGAGCTGGGCGGATTCACGAGGGCATGGAAGAGCTGGATCTGTGGTTTGCTCCTTCCWAAGCCTTTGTTGTCCCTCCTCACCCAAAGGCTGAATCTGTTAACGAGGAGCAGCTCCTTACTTTCGGTTCTCCCCTGGGCTCCCTCTGCGTTCTGCCGTCTGCTGTGAATTTGTTTGGGATTAAATTCCAAAGGCGGTTTCTTAAATCTGCGTGTGCGAGGTGGAAGATGAAGCCCAGCGGGAGCTGGGAGGTTTTTCCCTGCCCCGGCTGGGGAAGAGTTTTGGCAGCAGCTGAAGGATGCTAATTTGGAGTGTGCAGTAGGACCGGGCTTTTTGTGAGCGCGGCTTTGCTGCCTTGCAGCCTGCCGCTCCGGAGGTGTGGGGTTTGTGCGCCTTGAAAAGCGTTCTTGATTGTGATCGGCAGCTCCTCGGAATCCGGGGGCAAAATCCAGCTGCTCAGGAATAGTTTTGGGGACTTTTTGCTGCAGATGGATTTTGGGAGCACCAAACAAAACTTGTCTCCGGGGTGGTTTTAGCAGCAAGGAAATTAATTCGCCGCTTCTTCTGTATTGTTCCCTTTTGTAAAATACTCGCTTTTCCGTAGGTCCCATCTCCCTAACGAAAAACAGCGCTCTGAGCCTGCCCTGCCAAAAGGATGGACTAATTGGGGTGGTGATCAACCCCAACGAGGTGTTCTGCTCCGTTCCGGGCCGCCTGTCCCTGCTSAGCTCCACGTCCAAGTACAAAGTGACAGTGGCCGAGGTGCAGAGGCGGCTCTCGCCCCCGGAGTGTCTCAACGCCTCTCTGCTCGGAGGAGTCCTCCGAAGGTAGGATGGGGATGGGGAGGGGTGCCCTCCCTCCCTGCCAGCCACCCCCTCCCCGTGCCTCCTGTTTGTATTTTCCCGGTTTTGCTGGGTGTGAGCAGCCACATCAGCACAACCACAGAGCCTCTTAGCGCCTTCCTGATTTTTGAGAAGCCCAACGACGCTGAATCCTAATAGGCTTTGGAAATAAAATAACTTTGCACTTCTGCTGCCTCTCGAGAAGTGCTATTAACAGCTCTGACAGCAATTCTCATTCTCTGTTTCAAGCTGGGGTTTTGTCTCAAAACCAGCACGTGGAGCTGTCTCTGATTCCCAGGACAAATCATTTCCCTGTGGAATTATTTTTTAAATTAAATCTCGTGGTCCTGATTAATCATCACAAGGACACTTTATATGTCCTTTTTTTGCATACCCTTAATTTGGCTTGTGCTCATTCTACAGCAGTTGGTTTCGGTGGTGCAGTWTGAAATATTTTGATTTTGACCTGCTGTGTTTCATCCTGGCTGGTTTGAAGTAAAGCATTTAAAAAGTAGGTCACTTGAAAAGAGCCTGTTTTTTATCTTTTCCCCCCACAGTAGAGCCCTATTGAATGTCAGTAACTGGAATTTCTCATCTTAAAAAGAAGTGTTCCCTGAAGATAAAAAAGGCCATTTTTTTTTCTCCTTAATTACAGAGCCAAATCTAAAAATGGTGGCAGATCATTAAGGGAAAAACTGGATAAAATTGGCTTGAATCTTCCTGCTGGCAGAAGGAAAGCTGCAAATGTGACACTATTGACATCTTTGGTGGAAGGTCAGTCTCGAGTGTGCCTTACAACTAAACTAAATAAACTTTCCCACCTTGTGCACAGCTTTTACCCTCTGGGCAGAGCATGGAAAGGCTAGAAAGTCCCTAAAAGCAATAGAGAATTTTTTGTTTGTCTCAAAGTGAGCATGGTGGGGATGCTGCAGCACCTGAGGAAGGGCTGTGCTGGTTTTGAGGGGCTCTCCCCTCTCCCTGTGAGCTCTGCTGCTCCTCCTCACTGCTGCACCCCAGGATGCTGACAGGGATGTGGAAATTCTGTTCCTGGACGTCTATCCAGTTTGTTTTTAGGGCTGGTTTTGGTTTCACGAGGGTGTGAGCAGGCAAAAAAGGGGTGAAACTCATCGCGTTCTTGGGTTTGGTTCCTCGTTGGGAAACTTGAAAAAGTCTGGGCCAGCTGACTGCAATGCCTGCCCTGCCTCAGTGTGCTCAGAAGCTTTGCTAATAAACAAGCTTATAAAGTGAGATTTATAGCTTTTGACTTCCTGGTAGGAAACTGGAGCCCCTTTAATGTGTGCCATGTYCTGGGGACCCTCTGTGGGTGAAGCTGACTCGGAGGGTGTGTAAATGTGTTTGTGTGTGGTTTGCATTCGCTGCTCCTGTTTAAAGCAGCTCCTGGTTGTGSTGCCATTTAATAGGAATAGAAACAGCCACTGAAATGAAAAGAGTGAAAAAAAAAAATTGACCTAACAATACCTTCCTGCTGTTYATAACGCAGCAACTGCCATTTAAAGCCTTTCCTTGGAAGTTGCAGAGATGTGTGTGCACATGCACACGGGCACGTTGCACTGATCGTGCCAATCTTTTCTATTTTAAGCCTGATCAAATTGCTTTGATGAGAAAAAGTGGCCTGGTTGTACACCTTGCAAATTTGGTTTTCTGTCTGAAAATTTTTATGAAAATTGTTTAGAAAGCATGCTAAGCTGAAAACTTCTATTATATAAGTGGGATTTAGTTGGCAGATATTTTTAAATATCAATGGACAATTTGATCTCGACTGAATAATGTTCTTTGCTGTGCAGTTATTCTGGAGAAAGACAGGAATTTTTATTTCTAGTATAAAGGAAAGGAACTTCTTTTTTTTGTAGCAGTCACCATGTAAATCTCCTTTTTTTCTTGGTGCAAACTTACAAAGAAAAGCTGATCCATTACCCAGAAAATGGTAGGGAATGATAGAATGATGTCCCTTTCTAAAATAGAAATGCACTTCAAAAATCACAGCATTATTAATTACAAGGAAATTAAGGCAAAAAAAGTTACACCATTTTAACAAGCTCTCCCTTTTGCCCATGCAGGTGAAGCTGTACATCTTGCTCGAGACTTTGGCTACGTGTGTGAGACAGAATTTCCTTCCAAAGCCGTGGCTGAATATTTAACCAGACCACACATGGGCCGCAACGAAATGGCAAACAGGAAGAACATGCTCCTTGCTGCAAAGTAAGTTTTCAGCTTGGATTTTATTTTTTTCTCTCCTTTTGGAACGTGTTTTTGTCTGACTGTGAGTGTCTGTGGCTGGGGGACAGCTTGGTAGATTTTTGTGTGTAATTTTAGTTGGGAAGATGAAGCAACTCTTTTGATTTGGTTTTGGTTTGAATTCAGCWATGGCAGCAGTTTGATTTTAGTCTGAACCAATAACAAGAGTAACAACCCTGTAGGTAACCCTAAAGCAGCTTGGATTGTTTTTGTTTAACTGCAGCAAAAATTTAAAGGAACTGCAAGGAAAAAGTGTCCCCAGGTGTGACAGGGTCGAGGATGGGGACAGCAGGAGTGGCCTGGGATTGAGACCAGGACTGGGATTGAGACCAGGACTGGGATTGAGACCAGGACTGGGATTGAGACCAGGACTGGGATTTAAACCAGGACTGGGATCAAGGGAAGCTCAGCCCCTGCGTGCTCACAGCTCCCTTGGGCAATAGCAGCTCCCAGATTTCCCTTGGGACTCAGGAGCTGGAGAGTCCCTTTTCCCTGTGGTGGCTGAAGGTTTTTACAGTTCACTGGAAGCCATCCTTTGGTAGGTGTGGAAAGTCCCTGTGCTTCACTGAATTCCTGTTACAAACCCCGGGGAAGGGCAAGGAAGGGGAAAGGGGAGCAGCTTTGCACTGCAGACACTTTACCTGTGAWTAAACCCTGTCCTGAGCACTCCCTGGGAGCAAATACCTGTGTTAAGCTGGTCTAAAACTGGTGTTTGGAGCTCTCACTGTCCTCTTTACCCTTCTGAGTTCCTCTCCCAGGCTCAGGTTTAACAGCTTCAGTTCATGATTTGTTCTGGTCTGAGATGTTTTCTGGTTTGGGCTCGATGCAATTCCCTGCCTTTGACAGCACCTGAGAAAATCCTGCTCAAACTGCTGAGAAAGTTGCCCTGACTTTGTGCTCACACCAGGCATGCAGAACACACTCCTGGTGCTGAATCATCCAGCTTTCCTGAGAAAAAAAATCATCTTTTACAAGAATAGTTCTCTTAAAAATGTAGAAATCTAGGAATGTAGTCTCCCTTCCCTACAGTTTGAACATTAAGCTAATTTTTCCTGAATATTGTCATTATTGGCATTGTTACTGGCATCTCCTGGAAGATATTTGGGASTGAGAAATTCTGATAAAGCTGTTCAGATTGCTCAGCTCCTGTGAAATCCCTTCGAGGGCACAGATTTCCAAGCAGCAAACAACATATGCTGGAGCATTATTAACCACTCATGTTTTGCCAGGCATATGTGTTAGTGTTTGCAGGATCAGGGCCTCCCTGTATATACATGGAATATACACAACCAAATTAAATCTCCTCTTCAGCTGCTCCACTCTTTTCTGAATCACTCAGCTGCAGCTGGGGAAGTTCTCACAGAAAGCAGCACCCAATTCCCACTCCCSACTCCAAATCTGGAGCAAATGATGCAGAGTTAGACACCAGAGGTGGGGAGAGGCTTTTGCAGAGTTTTTGTGGTGTGGATTCAACAGAAGGTTTGGTCAGCATTTAATTTTAACCACCAAATTTCTCATAATTCCCACAAAAACGCCAAATATTCGATGGCAATTTTGTCATTTTTGTTTTGTTTTTTTTTTGCTGGTGCAAAGTGTGACCCCTGTGTGTGTTATTGCAGGCAGATCTGTAAGGAATTCACCGACCTCCTCACTCAGGACAGAACTCCTCTTGGGAACACAAGACCCAGCCCCATCTTGGACCCTGGCATCCAGGGCTGTTTGACTCATTTTAGCCTGATCACACATGGCTTTGGGAGCGCTGCCATCTGTGCTGCCATGACATCCGTCCAGAACTACCTAAATGAAGCGTTAAAAATAGCAGACAAATCCTACATGAACGCTGGCGACCAGAGCCCCGCAGAGACCAACAAAACCATTGACAAAATGGACAAGCACAGGAAGTGAAAGGAAAACCAGACTTTGCCCTTCCTCCTAAACACAGACTGAGATCTTCTTGCCAGGGGGAACATT